AGGAAGTCTAGCCACTTATTGTGGGGTTTTGACCCAGCTCAGCTAAGGTCCATTTGAGGGTTTGATTGGCTCTCTCAACCTTTCTTGAAGACTGGGGCCTCCAGGCAGAATGAAGATGGTATTTAATTCCCAGGGCTTGAGTGACTCCCTGTGTGCTTTGGGGTGCAAATGAGGGCCCATTATCATTCTGGGTAGACCAATGCAGCCCAAACCTAGGGATCACTTTTTTATTAGGACTTTCCCCAGGGGAGGACCCTTCCTGTATTGGTCAGGCAATGGGGGTGGATGAGTCTGTGGCTCATGGAGAGCAGACAGGGCAAGCCTTACAGATGTGGGTTACAATGTTATAGACTCCAGGCCCTATAAACAACCTATGTGCCATAGTGGTGGTGGTGTCCTGCCCTAGGTAGAAGGCATCATATAGGGACCTAATGACTTTCCACTGTAGTTGTTACAGCAAGAGGAGCTGGGGTCCCCTATACACATTGGCACTTTCGGATGCCTCCCACATCACAAACCATTTGACACTGTTCTGCAGACCCTGGCTCTAAGTCAAGATCTTAGAATGGGACCCTGGGACAAGCTATTTATGGGCTGGAATTATTTTGGAGGGAAACCTGTTTGGCAGCTGAGTCTGCCTTAGCATTATCTTGGGAGACAGGGTCCAAGAAGGCTTCATGTCCCCAGCAGTGGACAACTGCTACCTTGCTTGGGAGATTTACTGCTTCAGAGAGGTTGAGGATCTCCAGTTCATGTTTTATTGGTGACTGGCAGCTATTCAAAAGTCCCCTTTCTTTCCAGATGGCTGCATGCACACGTAAGACCAGAAAGGCATACATGGAGTCAGTATATATTGACCCTCTTTGCCCTGGGCTGAAGTTCCAGTGATATAAGGCAAATAAATGTAACTCCCAATCTGCTAGATGTCAGATATGCTGAGTTCATTTCCCCAAAATTAAAGAATGAATTCTAAGAAAAAACAGAGGTTAAGAGAAGGAAAAATTTATTGAGAGAAATAGCTCCTAAGAGACAGGAGAGGATCTGGAAGTGGGTTGCCAAGGAGCCCACTTCTCAAAGGAAGTTTTATAGAGCAAAATCATGAGGTGGGTAAAAAATCACAAAGTAGGTGCAACATGGGTCAAAACTATGATCAACCAATAAGATTACAAGTATAGTTGTGTAGGTAATATTGATCCAATGGGGAAGCAGGTCACATAGCTAGTGTACATGGAAAGAAGAAAGACCTTTTTAGGAAGGGATGGATCAGGAGAGGAGGTCCTAGTCACTCACCTGGGTGACTGATGTCTATCTAGACTTTATTGGACCAAGTGATACCAATTATCCCCTGGGAAGGGATGTAGGTCTGGTCATTCTGTCCTTATCTTGAGGGCTGGCCTTCAACAGATGAGCCTCCAGCCACAGTTGTAATGTGTTCTCATCCTGTACATTGACTCCCTTGAGGGCCTAACCCTGTCTGACTGCCTATAACATTTCTACCTAACTTAGCTGTCTGTAATACCAGGTGGGAGTCCTCTTGCTTCAGTGACCTGGGTTGGGCTATGGCATAACCTGCTCTCCTAATGCCATCCTGTTGGGCCAACAGCAAAAGATAGGCCACACAAACACAAACCTGACCAATGTGCAGAAGCCCTCCCACTCCCAGAAAAGACCAAAACTCTTCATGACCAGGTAATTCCCCCATGGGAGACTTCACAATGGCAGAAGTCCCAAATGGCGAACAACCTTCTGTCCTTTGCCTACAATGAGTGACCAAGGACACAAAAAAAGGGGAAAGAGAAGAAGTACAAAGTTTCCCTAAAGAAGGACTTACCTTCTTTCCTGGCTGGGCTGGTGGTCTGGCTAGCTCTTAGCTAAACTTGCCAAGAATGATACAGGACATGATGTGTTCCTGAGAGATAGAGTCTAGACTTTTTTTACACGAGGAGCAAAGCAATGAACGCTGCACACAATGCTATGGAAAAAGCAGCCAAGTTTAACAAAGTTTAACCGGGGAAGTTGCACTAGAGCAAGCAGATTCTGGTCAGCAGAAACAAAAAGGTGGCAAAAATGGGGACAAAAGCGAGGCTAGAGCTGCAGGGAGAAAAGGAATGAAGATAAATTAGGCTTTTGAATTTATAAAAAAGTGGGCCCCACCTGGAACTTCAGAAAATTTCTGGATCTTTGTTATTTTTATTTTTGTTTCCCTTGGGACCATGAAGAGAGGACTGGCCCTACGGTTGCCCAAGTGTGGGGGAATGGAGGGAGAGTGGTCCCACAGCCTCATTTGTGTTGTCTACACTGGAGTCATGCCTTTCACTTGTGAAATGGGTCATTATCTTTCTGTCTTCCTTTTCCCTGGTAAGCCAAGACCAAGAGAGGACTTCCTCTAGATTCACTAATTCCATAGATTTCCACCCACCAAAACACATAAACACCCCCATGTTACAGTTGAGTGGGCCAAAAATAGTCCAGGTTCTTGTGTACGACAAGGAAAGAATTACCAAGCCTATACCTCGTGGTATGTAGCAAGTAGCTACTTTCATTGAAGATCATGGGTAGCAGCTGGAACAGGCAGAAGGGTGAAGGGTGGCGGGGAGGGAATTGATAACTCAGGCTTCGAGTTATAGGGTCAGACACCTCTGATTCAAGGTGCCTCCCACTGTCTCACCGATGTCAGCAATCTGAGCGACCTCCTAACTTTAAGCCTGAATAATCATAGGTTGGTGTTGTGTTTATGGCTGAATGGAGAGAAAGGAAGTGGCTCACACAACTTTCCTGCTTTAAAATTATGGAAGCATGGATAATCATTAGCTTGGTGTGGCATTTACAGTTGAAGGAAGGGAAGGGAGTGATACCAGACTGTTTGTGTGCCTTTCTTTTGAGGACCCGCACTCTATTTAATGTTGTACCTACTCATTTCCTTCCTTTATGCTTCTTACTGAGGCATCCTGAACATTCCTTTTCTGTGATGGAGTTACCTACCATATGGACTGAGCTCATGGCTCCATAGACGAAGTCTCGAACCAAAGGAAGAGGTTAAGAGATTTCCAGGACAGGTCCTGTGTAGGTGGCCGCATGGCCCCTCAATCCACAGCTAATTATAGATAAGCAGAGCACAGGAATTAATTGTATAGTGACTACCTATCACAGCTGGCTCTGTGGATTTAAAATGACCAATCAGAACTCAGGATCTCTAACCCAGTTCTTTAGTCTACAGGGTTTAAAGGAAACTGGGATTTTAGAGGAAAAAAACCCTGGTTATTTTGCATCGGAACTGGGGAATTTAGTTGGGAGTAGCTGCACCTCCCTTTAGTAGGGAAGGGGGTGCGTGTTGCCTAAGGAAGTTCATCCTGGATCTAAAATCCTAGTTAGCTGCCTATTCTTATCAGTGTAGCTGATCACCCAATTCTACCTCAGGCCCTCCCCCTACTGGTAGCTAGCTGCCTGATTTCTAAACTAACTACATAAACTATTTTCTACAATCGAAGTCAGTGAACTTGCAACCTGTCCTGTGGGTGGGGTGAGCAAAGGTTTCCCATCTGTGCTTTTGGGGATCTCCTTGGATTCTGTCCAGTGACAAGGAGGGAAGAGAATTCTATGGATGAAAAATATCCTAAATTATTTGAATAATTTTCTTCTGGTTGGAGGCTAACCGACTGGGGCACGGGGTGCTGTGTTACTGTTAACACACACATATTATGTCTCTTGGTCCTCATTAATCATCTGGTGCAGTACTGACCCATTTAATCCATGAGGAATTGGATAGAGAAGGCAAGTAGCCTTTCCACAGTTTCTTACCTAGTTAACACCAAGTAGAGGGAGGGGTGGGCCAACCCAGGACTTCTGACTCTAAAGCTTTTGCTCTTTGCTAATGGCCAGAGGGCTTACATCTGAAAGTCAATATATATGTAAGTACTATAGTTTGTCTCAGTGGGCAGTGACTGGGACAACACTCAAGGTACTGTAGTAAGATGTAGGTTCTTAGGAGCTTTCCTTCCAGATGTACTGCCTGGTAGTCCGTGGTGTGGCCCTGCCAGCTTTCCCTCCTGACCGCTGTGCAAGGCACGGTGTGCTGCCGCTGATGAAAGGAATTTACCAATAATCAAGGAACAAAGGAAAGTTAATATAGTGATAGGTGGCAAGAGAGCAAGACTGAACTGTACCATCAGGTGAAAGGCTGAGATTCTGATGCTTGATTCTAACATGACGGGGTTTGGAAACCTCCCAGGAACACTTTCATCAGTCTCTCGAGGTTCTACTGTCCACCTCGGTTCAAAGGATAGCCAGGTGTTGTTTGAAGGCTAATTTAACGTCTTTGTTCGACAGGGTCTAGTGCCCTTAACGTTGCTAGAAAGTCTTCCCCGGTAAAATTAACTGATAATGTGTGAACACTGACGAATGTTAGTGGCCAAGGGGGTCAGAATGACGTGTATGTTTGTACTTGAAAGGGCCTTTTGACTTATCCTGGGACAGGGGAAGAAATGGTATTCCTTAACACATGAGGAGCGGGTCATCTAGTGAGGTGTGTGTAGTTTTTGTGCCTAGCTCACATTGTGGAAAGTTAATTTTCTACTGCAGACTAACCACTCAGCTGCAATGTGGCCTTTACAGAAACAGTGGTAAAATAGCCATGATTCTCCACACTGAACTGTGCTGTTTTGAAGCCACAACAGAGGCTGGCTTTCTGGGGCAGCAGAGATCTGTGGGATGCTCACCCCTTCTTGCAAGGCGAACAGCTGCGTTGTCCAGAGACTCCATAATATAATTTGGAGCTAGCTCCTGACTTTGTACACGGTGCTGGCCCCTTCCAAGCAGGTAACCCACTTGATCTCTAGTAGCCTCAATTTCTTAGAACGTGCATCTGAAGCCGGTTCAAGGATCTCCCGCAACTTGCCCAACGCGGAACATGCGCACTGAAGGCTGCCCGCGTCGTCCCTCAGGCCCCGCCCCTCGGGCCTTGGCCCTTCCCAGCGTCGTCCCTCGCCCCGCCCCGCGCACGCGCAGGCGTGTTTTTCCCTTGGGGCTCTGGGGCGCGGGAGATTCGTAGACAATGGCGGCAGCTTGGTCTTCGTACTGTGGTGGAGGATGTGCCTCCTCTTCCTGTGTGTGTGACCAGAAGAAGTGGGGCGACCCCTCGCTGCTGGGCCGGCGGCTCTCGGAAGACTCAAGCCGCCACCAGCTGCTGCAGAAGTGGACGAGCATGTGGAACTCGGCGAGCGGGGACGCGTCGGTGGCCGGGGCGGAGAAGGCGCCGAGGGAGGAGGAGGCAGCGGAGGTGGAGAGCCCGTTGGTGTTCCTGTGCTCCGGCTGCCGGCGGCCATTGGGCGACTCGCTGAGCTGGGTGGCCGCCCAGGAGGACACCAACTGCATCCTGTTACGCTGTCAGTTCCGGCAGGGCTGGCCAGGGCTGTGCTGGGGCAGCCTTCCCAGCAGTGTCACACCTGGGCGGTCCGGAGGGAGGAGAGGGGCTCCTTGGGGTCACCCTGGAAAAAGTGGAGGAAGGTCACCCCTGCACTTGGGCTCAGGAGTGACGATCATTTTCTGGGATCCCCCATCCGGGAAGAGCATCCCTTGAATCAGCCTCGTCTCGAGCATTCAAGCATTTGGGATGTAGCCTGTCCAGGACGTATGACTCCCCGCGAGAATCAGTGGGCTGTTCATTACTAATATTCTTAGTGGTTTATTCACTGAATTAAGCTTTTCAGCTACTGCTTCCTGTAGGGGACTTGTCGAGATTGGTTTTTCTAAGCGTTAAAACCGTAGCGTAGGGGGTTTAGCTCAGTGGTTTCGCCTCCTGCTACGCAAGCTCAAAGACCCGAGTTCGATCCCCGGTACCAACCCCCCCCCCCCAAAACCCCATAGCGTTGACACAGGGCTATGGGGGGCGGGGGAGAAGGAAACTTGAAATGAAAACGCTAACATCCCCATGAAATTAGAGAGGAAGGAGAATGTAGTAAAAGAGTTAAGGCAGGGGCTGGGGATTTAGCTCAGTGGTTCTGCCGCCTGCCTTGCAAGCGTAAGGGCCTGAGTTCGATCCCCGGTACCAAAAAAACAACAACAAAAAGAGTTAAGGCAGGAGGAATTCTAGGTTTTAATCTTGACTTTACCAATTACCTGTGTTATTTACCGTATTTGTCAGAATTTATTTGGGGGTAAAGTGATTCACATATTTTTCTGAATTGGCATAGAAATGGGTGTTCTCTTGGAACTTGTGGTTTATAATATATATACTTGGCAGTACTGGAGATTGAACCCAGGGCCTCCCCTACCCCCCACATTGCTGATCGAACTCAGGATCTTGCGCTTGCAAGGCAGGCACAGCGCCACTGAGCTACATCCCCAGCCTGAACCCAGGACTTTTTGCACCAGCCCTTTTTTATTTTTTGAGACACAATCTCACCTAGACACTAGCCCAGGCCAGGCTTGAACTTGGTGATTCTCCTGTCTTATCATCCAGAATGCTAGAATTACAGGTGTGTGCCACTGCCCTTGCCAGCTGGAATGAGACTTGTGGGGTACAGTTGACATGTGTCAGCGGGGTGGATGTATGGAAGCAGGATGAGGAGGACCAAGGATGAAGGCTGGGACTGTAGCTCAGTGGTAGAATACTTGCCTAGAATGCATGAGGCCCTGGGTTCAGTCCCCAGCATTACCAAAAAATAAAACAAAATCCAAGAACGATGCCCTAGTTTCTCATCTGGGCAACTGGAGAGATGGGGGTAGATGTACTGAGATAAGGTGTCCTGTAGAAGGAGATGTGTGGCCCTTTGCACCTGACATCCCTCTTGGGAAATGTTTTCTCCTGTGGTCCAGCTGTGATCTGTCCCAGTCATGGTCCAAGTAAAAGATGTTTGGGAGACTAGGGACTTCTCAGACACTTTTAGAGAAACGAGTAGAGCATCTGCAACCTGGAGGTGAACGCATTGGTTTTTGGCATCTTGATTCTTTTTTTCTTCCTTGGTTTTGATCCCAGCTTCATTGTGGGGCAGATGTTCTTTGTACTCTGTGCCTTAAGGTTCTAATTTGTCCAAATTCCACTATTAATTGAATTTTCCTTTTTAATTTTGCATATTTTGTTGATGTCATTGGTTTTCATGGAAAGGAATGAAATAACTTGTACCATTTTTTCCAGCATACCCTTTGTACATTTAGGTTTTTTTGTTTTTTTGAGACAGGGTCTCGCCAAGTAGTTCAGGGTGTCCTTGAACTCACTGTGTAGCCCAGGCTGGTCTGGAACTCAAGGCAATCCTCCTAGCTCAGTCTCCTGAGTGTTGAGATGACAGGTGTGTGCCACCACACCCAGCTTACATTGAACCACCCTTTGTGTGTGTGTGTGAGAGAGAATCGCACACACATGGACACTTTGGGTTCTTATTTTTTCTAGCCCTCCAAGTTCCAAAATAAAAGTTGGATTAAAAATTCTCTAAATGTCTGCATGAGTCTTATAACAAACTGCGTTAATAAAGCATTGCTTCTCTTTCCAGGTATATCCTGTAATGTTTCTGTGGATAAAGAGCAGAGGCTATCCAAATGGAAAAATGAAAATGGTTGGTGAGTAAGGCTGTATCCATGTGAATATTACATTAGAGAAAAAAGAAAATTGAAAATAAACAGAAGAAAATATCTGTATTGTACAAATCTCAAAGCTGTAGAGTAATGCAATATAAGACACTGGCTATTATTGTAAACAAACAAGGCTGCCTGTGATTAGAGGCAGACAGCCTAAGGGGCTGTAGGAATCTAAGTCCTTTGTGACCATTTGAAAGGGTGGAACGGACAGGTGCCTTGCCATACCTGTCACCCGTTAGCTGCATGTGGCATCCTTAGTGAACTGAATGGGAAGCTCTGCCTTATATAATTGTCACGCAAAATCTGAGATGTGTCTTACTGAGGTAACTTTAGGTGGTTCACAAATAAGCAAAAGTTAATGATTATATTTTGATGTGCATTACAAATGCCGGGTTCTCCTTTTTAATAATGCTAGGGTGTTCTATTCAAGTAAAGTATATTACAATTTTTAAAAATTTACTTTGTTTAAGGAAAATTAAATTGCTAATGGTTTAGATAATATATAGGTATGGCAACGCTTGTGCTGTTGCATGCAGGTGATTAAAATTTGGAAAACCTGACTTCAGATTTTATGGAGGCGGAAACAAGGCCAGTGAGCTTAGAACTTCTTTAAGGTTCCAGGTCTAATTAGTGCAATGCTTTTACCTCTCCTGACTTCTTTGATGTGTTCTTTTTCTCTGCTTCCTAACTCTGCTCATTTTGACATCGCCTCCATTTTTGCCATTTACTGAGGACCCTTGAAACATTACTGGAAACCTCTGCAGTAGGCTCATCTCCTGCCCAGTGTATGACACAGGCCTGAGGAAAACAAAAAAACTAAAAGACAGATCTAAGAGAGACAGAAAGTGGGGTGCCAGGACGACAAATGGCAGTACAACTGACAAAGGCACTGGCCAGTCCAAAGCCACTGATTTTTATTGATAATCAATTAGGGTAAAGGCAAGCTACCTGCAAGGGCAGAACTACAAGTGAGGACACGCAATTGGGTGGTTTCTATGGAAATTAAGCAAGTCTCGTAAAAGACAAGACAAAGCATTCTTGATTAGGAACAGAATAGACAAAATATATGGTTGTAATTAGAACATTGTCCTTCTAGTAAGAAGGTTTTAATTGTGGGAACGGAATTTGGGTGTGAATTACTTTGATCTTGGGATGTAGACTTCGGCCAGGCCCACTTCTCAGAACAAGCCAATTGTGGGGCTAACTCTTCACAGCCTGCACTGGCTACAGCATAATCAATATTGCAGTCTGCCATACTATTAGTCCATTTTTCATTACTATAACAATTTTCTCCATTTTTGCCAGCTGCGTAATTATATACTTAGTATGTCTTCATTAAATTGGCTTAAAATTGTTATTTAAATTTATTTTAAAAGGAATCTATACATCACTGACATAAATATATCATTGCCCATAACTTGAAAGTGACTGAAGATAATTGCAATGAAACAAATATTTATTAAATGTAGCCAAGATATTGCTTAGCTGGTTCTGGTCTGTTCTGTCATTGTTAAAAGATTTGCAACTATAAGTGTTGAAGATAATCTAATACCAACCTGAGATTTTCTTCTTTAATTTCCTAGATTGTTAGAGAATTGAAAGGGAATTTCTCATTCTGTGATCCAAAGTTATTTAATGCTATATGATCTGAACCCATTTTTCATTTATTTATTTACTTATTTCTTTTTTGCTTTTGTTTTTGAGTCAGGGTCTTGCTATGTAGTTCCAGCTGGCCTTGAACTCATGGGGATCCTCCTGCTTCAGCCTCCCAAGTGCTGGGATTAGAGGCATACACCTCCACGCCCAGCTAAAGCCATCTTTTATCTTGCCTTCAATATGATGAGTTTTACTAGATCCGTGTGGGCTACACGCCTGGATATTGCTTTAGGATGCTTGGGAAATTTTCAGTAGGTTGGCCTGTCCTACCAAATGCCGGGCTGGACCCATTCTGCTGATGGCAATGAAAGTGCTGTGGCCTTCAGAAATAGGTTTTGAAGGTGGCAGTGCTGTTTCCTCTGTTCGTTCTGATTGTGCCCTTTGTTAAGGGTGTTCATTCCTTGTGTAAAATTACCGGCTGATTTCTGGCACTGTCACCTCAATATTGTTGGACAATGAGAGTGAATTCTGGCCAACTCTGCCAGCTGTGCAAGCAGAAAGATGCTGCCGTGATGGTTGCTACCAACTCTTCATTGTTCCCCAAGATTATTGAAGAAGTGTAGAGTAGTCCATTTGTCATTACTGTAAGGAAGTACCCGAGGCAGGCTGCTTTATACAGAAAAGAGGTTTATCCAGGCTGCTGGTTGTGGAGATGCAAGGCCTAGAGACCATTGTATTTGGTGATTTTCTCCTTGTTGGTAAAAGGCCCAGGTGGCACACAGTATCACATGGCTGGAGACTGGGAATTTGGGTCTGTGTTTGTGTCTTCTGGTCTTTCCCTCTTCTTATAAAGCTTCCCAGATTCACTCCTGAGGCCTCCAACCTACTGACCTTGTCTAACCCTAACCACCTCCCAAAGGCCCCGCCTCTGAACACCACAGCAAGGCTGTTTCTGTCCTCATAGTACCTCACAGTGGGGACTGTTTCAGCATGAGGTAGGGAGGACAAATCGTATTCAAACCTTACCAGGGCATGAATGGGTTTATGTGCACCCTTTGGTGCATTTAGAGCCATTTGATAATTCAGGTTAAAACAGTCTTATCCACTGGTCAGTGTATTTTGAGAGCTCAGGCTTGGCTAAGTATTCTTTCGTGGCTGCTGATAATGGCATTAAATATCAGTTTGCCATCTTGATAATTATGTGTGACAGCTTCCTAATTATCAGGAAGTTTCATATGGAGCATGGAGATCTGTTGGTATTGTAGGCGAGGCTCCCTATCTTATAACTTAGGGTTTATGAAGTAAGTAGATAAACTTGGGGTTTACTAAGATGTTTTACTATTTCTTATATAAAAGCCTTAAAAAATTCCACAGACACCTGTATTTATTGTCAGTGGCATATTGTCTGCTTAACTGTATCACCGGTGAGGACATATAATTTATCAGGTGATGTTCCATTTTGATCTTTATTCTATCTGTTGCTGTGTGATTATAAACTTCTCGCAGTGTCTGTAGGTAAGCCGTGATATATATAATCCATGATGTGCTGTTAGGTCTTGGGTAGGTCCCTTTTGCTTCATAGCAAAAGATATTTAGTTGTGACACATAGCTCACATATTGACAGATAGCTCAAATACTCTTGACATGGTGGGATTTTGTGGTATCTATTTCACTTCTGTGCTCAAGACTAGCTCGAAATCTCCAGTTGTCATCAAGCTGCTGTGTTTTGGGCTGTCATTTTAGTATAAATGGTTATAGAATGGAAATTTTGAACAGGCCAATTTGACAAGGCTTTTGGGAGACAGTGGATTTTTGGCCAGGTTTAAAGATGAGCTAAGCTGGGCGTGGTGGTGCATGTCTGTAATCCCAGCACTCTGCAGACTGAGGCAGGTGAATTGGCGAAAGTTCACAGCCACCCTGGGCTACATAGTGAGTTCAAAGGCAGCCTAAACTACCTAGTGAGAGAACCTGTCTCAAAACAAAACACATAAAGACCTGAGGTGGTGTGGAGGGAGAGTACATTCAAATATGTGGAACCTGAGTTGAGAAGTATCTAGAATGAAGGAACAATTAATGTGGAGAAGAAATAATGGATCATTGAGTAATTTTTTTTTTTTTGGTGGTACTTGGGGTTGAAGCCGGGCCTTTGCCCTGAACTACATCCTCCCTCTCCCTCCCTCCTCCCCTCTCCCACTCCCCCCTCCCTCCCCCTCTCCCCCTCTCCCCCCTTCCTCTCCCTCCCCCTCCTTTCTTTTTCTTTTTTTTTTAAAAAAAAATTGAGACAAAGCCTTGCTGAATTACCCAACCTGGGCCTCCCAGAGTGCTGGGATTACAGGTGTGAGCTACCCTGCCTGGCTCATTAAGTAAAATTCTTGTAAATCACCTGTGTAGGACATATCTGTAGTTCGTGGAAAAGTACTTGAGACAAAGTACACTTTTAAAAAGCAATTCTAACAAATATGTAATTAACACTTGTCAAAGGTATATTCAACCAATTTATGAGGGAACCAGGACATTGCAAATCTGGCTCGAAGGAGGACATTGTTTTATAGGATGCTCTAGTTAATGTCTGTTGGTCACTAAAACTTCAACCTCTGGTGTTATTTTTTCTGCTAGTGGAAATCATTTGTATCTCTACGAGACTGCAACTATTTGCAGTGTATCTGTCTTCTTTCTGCAAGTCATCATCTAACTTTAGAGTCTTTGTAAAGTAAGCAGTGTTACCTTCCACCAGAGCCTGGTTGCAAACTAACCCTGGGCCCATGGGCTGGGCCCTTCTTTTTGTGGAACTCAGATTGTTCAGTTACTATCGTTATGATGCACTGTGGCACACTGGCAAAAGTGATACTTAGGATGGACACCAGAAGGCCAAAAATATTTATTCTCTGCTTCATTAGAGTAAAACATTGCCTGCCCCTGCCCTCGAGTGTTCATGTTGGGCCTGTGGTTGGACAGTGGCATTAAAAGGGCATCCAGAATCTTTTAGTTTTAATTCTAAAGTTTAGATGATTTTTCTTAATGTGCATTCTAGAAAACACCATGTCTATATCCTCTTGTTATCTCCTTGTGCCTGTCCCTTGTCATTAGATGGTCAAAGCAGTGTGGCTGGAAATGACTGTCTTCATGTCCCTTGTAAGCACCTTACTGTCACTTTACCCTCCTTATGTATATGACTTGATGTGGTCACAACGACTTTGGAACTTAGGCCTGGAAGGGGGTTATGGCCGGTAGCGATGGGGTTTTATCATAACGAGTTGCAGCTGTGTTCCCTAAAGCAGTGACATTTCTTGACGGCAGCATTCTTGAGACTTTGTACTGTTCCGGCTGCTCCCTCCACCTTGGCTATGTGTACAGGTGCACGCCCAAGCACCTAGACTACAAGAGGAACTTATTCTGCCTCAGCGTGGAAGCCATTGAAAGGTAGGTTTTTGTACATCGTGACTGGCTGCCTCACAACTGATTTCTTAGAAAGTTAAGTTTGCAGAAAAAATGGTCTGGAAATATAAAAACTAAGCACTGGGTAAAGTTTTTTTTTCAAGTAATAATTCTGACAATGAGGCCACTGCTATATATATTTTTTGTTTCAACCTGATTTATTTGGTATTGGAAAAGTTCAACTGCTAAGTTATAGGAGAAAACATTATGAGAAAATTTTTTGAAGTAAAAATGTGTTCACTTGTTTTTAAAAATTGAATGTAGCTTAACAAGATTATTCAAGTACCAGATGTATCGCTCAGTATATATTGTTCCTTTCCCCTTACCCTGTTAGTTTTTAGCTTCTTAGAATATGAAAAAATAGGAATTTCAAAATTGGTTAGGAAAGCAGGCCCTTTGATGTTCTGGAAAAGTAGAAATACAAAATCCAGCTATTGCCATTAGTAAACAATTGTCTTTTTTAGATATGCAAAGAAATGCCTGTATCCTCCAAGATTTCTAAAAAGTAATTGTTAGGGAGCAATGTGAATTAGGGAGTGAAGATATCCATCTTATCCAGCAGTTAAAGAATTGCAGGTATCTCAGTGGCCCTCCAGTTCATTGGCCTTTTTTTTTTTAAAGACACACAAAATTCAGTAAATCAGTTGACCCCAATGCATGTGACCCTCCAGCCTTTCAGAATGGCTGGGATGTGGCTCAGCCGAGGAACGCTCACCTAGCACATGAGAGCGCCTGGCTTCTAACCACAGCAAGGAAAAGGATGCCCATTAAATCTTATATACCAGGCAAGAACAGTTTAGGAAGAAAAGAAGGTGCCCATGCTTTTATTCTTTGAGATATTTTATCACTCATATAGAATTTCTTACATTTTGCTCTCTCAAAAATTTAAAACTAGCCAGGGGTTTAGTTCAGTGGTGCCACGCCTGCCTCACAAGCTCAAGGTCCTGAGTTTGATCCCTGGTACCAAAAATAAAATAAAACTATTCTTTTTGCTAAATAATTTCTTACCCAGCTATTCCTCGATAACTGCAGTTTTGTCACTTTGTTTGAAACTAGACAGGTTTACATCAAAATTTTATAATCTGCAAATTTTTTATAACCCTTACGCAAAAGAATACTATAGTGAACACTTCCTTGTTGTAAAGCCCTTAGGTCTATCGGGAGAGATAACTGTTTTGGTTTTAATATGTGGATAGAAGACCCAGACTCAGACCAAATGCTTTATTCTCCACGCGGTTTTTGCCATGGTTTGTGAACACCTTAAGGGAAAGTACAAGTATAAAAGACATGAAATTTTAATTCAGTGCAGTTGGCATAAAACTTTAAAAAGTGATATTATCTATTTAAAGGAGAAAATGTAGAAGGTTTTGTCCCAGAAGATGATAATATTGAAGCTATTTTTCTTGAACAGTTCATTTATGATACACATTATCTTTTGGGCAAGATGTTCATGCCAAGGAATCTGGTTTTATTTTAGAAGTGTGTGCCCTCTATAACTTTTTGTTTTTTTGAGACAGTGTCTTGCTATGTATTCAAGCTGGCCTTGAACTCACTGTGTAGCCCAGGGTGGCCTCAACCTTCTGGTGATCCTTCTGCCTCAGCCTCCTGATGGTGAGGATTACAGGTGTGCACTACCATGCTTGGCTACCTCTATAACTTTTATTTATAGTATTATAAATCAAGAGACCTTTGTTTGGTATAAGGACCTTGCGTTTGCAAGGCGTGGCACCACTGAGCTAAATCCCCGCCCTCTAGTTTTATGAATCAGTCAAATGCTGCTTGAATTTTTTCTTTCTTTTTGCTTTTTTTTTTTTTTTTTTTTTGAGACTAGGTCTTGCTACGTAGTTTAGACTAGCTTCAAACTCAAGGCAATCCTCTGGCCTTAGCCCCCAGAGTCCATTTGAATTTTTTACTTCATTTCTTTTTTCTTTTGCTTAGGAGGGTGGGAGTGTTTTGTTTTCCTAAATAGGAAGTTAATTGCCTTCACCGTGCTATTTTTCAGGAATACAACCCATGGGCTTCCAAAGGGAAAAAAAGAAGTGACATACAAAGTTGCTATATGTGATAAAAGACTTCTGTTCATAGAAAGACAGAGAAATTGAGTCTTCTTCCTTATGTTTCATCTGCCTGGTTGCTGATGCTAGGCCTGTTTCCTCCTTTTACTAGGCCAATCTTTCTGCTGTTTAATACTTTTCCAAACCACAGTGCGTCATACATAACCTTACAGCAGAGTAAAGTGTGGCTTGGAGGATAACTGTTGGAAGTTGCCCAAACTTGGGTATTCAAGAGCTTACTCCAAATTATTATTTATTAAAAGTCAAATATGAAGCCGGATATGATGGCCTACACTTGCAATCCCAGTACATGGGAGGCTGAGGCAGGAGGACTGCCGAGAATTTGAGGCCATGCTAGGCTGCATAGTGAGTTTAAGGCCAGCCTGAACTGCATAGTGAGACCCTGTCTCAAAAAACAAAAAAAACAAACAAACATCAAATATGAAAGCAACTGTTTCTGAAAAGTTAGGTAAAGCAAGAAAGCAGTGGCTTCCTTGAAACCAGCAGCTTCTTCAGGATCTTTAAACTTGTCTGTAGAATTTTGAACCATGATAATGTTTTTACCACCCAGAGCAAGTTTATTTCAATAATGAAATACATATAATGGAAAATTAATGTATTGAAATATCTGGACGAAACTATTATGGAGAAAGACATGATTTTATGTAGTATAGCTTCCTATGTAGGTTACTTTAACAGTAACAGTTGTTTTATTCATTTGCTTGCTACTAATATATAGTGTGGTATACGGAAGAGTTTTACTGTTTTTAAGTGACATAAGTTTAATATTTGTTCCCTTTCATGTTTTAACTGTGTACCACACTATGTTTTAGTTATACTTTAGGGTCCTCTGAAAAGCAAATTGTGTCAGAAGACAAAGAGCTTTTTAATCTTGAAAGCAGAGTTGAAATGGAAAAGTCTCTAAAACAGGTAATTTTACTGTGAACATTTGATTTCTGTTATAAAGAACTTCCCATCAGTGAACAAATGCCCCTCCAATGGTAATTCTCATGTCATCTGTTTTTGTCAGAGTACTTTCCTGGTGAAAGAGTGATTATTTTATTTCAGTTGTTAGTAAGCTGGTTTTGGGGGGAACTAAACTATGAATTAAGGTAAAGCTTTATCAACGAAATCATGAGGACATTGCATGCCCAAATCAAAACAGTATATATTGTTAAACTAGAAGCATAGCTTTAAAGCAGATCAATATTTGTCTTGGTTTATTTCACTTTCCTTATTGCTGAATGTTAACATCTTTTCATAGCATGATAGGCAGATGGTGATCAGCATATAGCTGTAGGGTATAGGTGGAAAACTACAGTTTGATAGAATTATGTCTTATTTAAATAAGATTTATGCTTCTAAATGGTTTGGTTTTTTTTTGGTACCGGGGATCGAACTCGGGTCCTTGCACTTGCAAGGCAGGTGGCAGCACCATTGAGTTAAATCCCCGGCTCCTACATGGTTTTGTTAGATACTCAATATCTGTTGTGCATAATAAGTAATATTCAAAATTGCATGAACAATGTATTTTTAATCATGTTTAACCATGCATCATTTTTAATCATTTTGTCTGGGTTTCTTTATACTCTTTTTAAAACTCAATAGATGGAAGATGTTTTGAAGGCGTTACAGACCAAGCTGTGGGAGATTGAATCGAAATTGTCCTTTACCGACTGCAAGAGCTGAACTCAGTTCCACGCCCGCCTCTCTTATTCTTACAGGAGAAGATGTGTAGAACTTTTGCAGCTGTACTTTCTGGATTGTGCCCCACGTTGGAATTTTAAAACTAGCTTATGATACTTGCTGGAATTGGAATTTAGGAATTTTCATTTTGATAAGAAACGGATTTTTCTGAACTATTTTCTATGTCAAAATCATTATTTTCTACTTTTATAACTTGATTTCACCTTTAATACTTGGAATAATATTGACTAGTGAATGGTAAGAACTTAGTTTTTCCACCTACTGTGTAGTTGGATCTTTGAAAACTAGTGCGGAAAGCTTTTTGGAAATACTAGTTAGTTGAATTATTTGTTATAATTCTTTGTAAACTTATCTGAGAACAGAATAGCATATATGTATCTAATAGGATTCCACTTTGTGCTCTTTATGTTACTATATGTTTAAAAAAATCTGAAAGAATACTGAACAGAGTCATAGTTATTTCTGGGGTTAGGATCCTAGGGGAATTTTTGGTTTTTTTGTTTTCCATAATGTAAGACTTATAGTTAGCATATTTGTTTTTGATTTTTGGGCTTTTTTTTTTTTCTGGTTTTTTGAGATAGCATCTCGCTATGTATTTCAGGCTGGCCTTGAACTCGTGTTGATCCTCCTCCGTCAGCCTCTTGAGTGCTGAGATTACAAGCGTGCATCACCACACCTGGCTATAATTAGCATGTATTATTTTTATAATCAAGAAGAGAATAAAGATTAAAGTACTCTAAGATTGATTTTTTTTTTTAACTGAATTATGTTTAACTGAGCTCATAAATCCTGGGACCATGAAACCCACACAGTCCCTGAGCATGGCACTGTGGTAGACCTGGTCAGAAGTGTAAATAAAGTTAACCCCAAGTCTGCAGGCCTCTTTCTTATTCCAGGTACAAATGGGGTCAATGACAGCACTCATTATGTACGGATAACTCCCCCAACTTCGGCTCAGATATTCCCTAATTATGTCTGAGCGTACTAGAGTTACCACAGCAAATGTCCAAGTCAGATGATTTGATCATTCATTAATTCTGAGTGCTTTTTGATAGATTGTCGATAGCCTTTACTAATTAAAAAAAAGAAGTGAGCCTTCTAGATATCCTGTCAGAAACCTGCTAACTGATGAAGTCCCCGTTGTCTGTCCACTTAGGTGCTGCGGTGACATCTTGTGTGGAAGTCCATTCAGAACAAGTAGGAGAGTGTGTTAGCTGCAGGATTCAGCTGATGTTCTGGTTGGTCACGCTGGTTACAGAATACTCCAGCAGTCATTTTTGGGGACCATGCCAAAGACAGAGTGGCTGACTAACTCCTTATATATTGTTAGTGCTAGGGCAGGAGCTGCTGTTCCATACCTGGAGTCAGTTCACATGTCCTGAAAGGTCATTTTACCAATGAACAGTACTTTCTAACATCCGTGGTGCTGGTTCACTAAGCCTGCATTGTGGGTCAAGAGCTCAGGGGCCATAGTGGCTTCCACTCCCGTGACCTTGACTAGCAGAAGCAACTTTAGAGAGCCTATGTATTTTTTTCTCGAGAGCCATTTGTTAAATGCTCAGGATTATCCCAGGCTGGGGATTTAGCTCAGTGGTGCCGTACCTGGCTCGAGAGTGCAAGGTCCTGAGTTCGAACCCTGGTACCGGAAAAAAGAAAAATAATATGACTTTTTCCCACACCCCCAAAGACCAGCTCCTAACAGCTTCTTGAGTACTGGGAGTCTAATGTGAAACACTGCATTTTGAGATTAGGGATTACAGTCCCATTCTTGACTGCCTGTGACGAAAAAGAAAAATACCTGAAAGCAAAAGTCGGACTTTCATAGAAACAGTTGGTGTTACGTACACATCCTTTTTCTGAATAAGATGAATAACTGGGCAGGTGCTTGCCTCTGAACAAACAGAAAGTACATTTACAGTCACTTGATCTTTTTTTAAAATGATGTCTGCTTGTTTTTTAGCAGTAATGCATCAAGGGAAGTTGGATCAGCTAACATAGTGTTAGCATCTTAATTTCTGGGAGGATTAGCAGGCATGAGCGCCTTCCCACCTTTCCCCCTGTAAGATGAAGTTCACGGAGCCCTTTCAGTGGGTTCCACCACAGCCCGTACCTTGAAATTCTCTCACTACCTCACCCCAGCCTCTCTGCTCCTCTGCCCAGATGTGTCAGCCTCTGTCCCAAGCTGTCTACTCCTCGTGTCCTGGCTCTCCTGTGTGCCATTTCCTTTGAGTTTATTACATTTTGTTGCAGTTGTCACTGTTGGGTGTTACCTTTTACATCTGTTTGCTAGTTTGTCTTCTCCCCATTGGAAGTCAGTTGTTTGAGAGCAGGGGTTTTATGTTCCAGCCTGTGCCAAAGAGAACAGCTGCCAGCCAGTAAAAGCTCACTTAGCCCCGCACTCTACGAGACTGAGACAAGAGGATCGCATGTTTGAGCCCAGCCCGGGCAACTTAACAAGAACCTGTCTCAAAAAATAAAACAGAAAGAGCTCATGTACTGTTGGTTGGGATGGATGAATATTGTTGCATCACATACCTCTTCTCACATCCAGAGCCTTTGCCTGCTTTGGGTTCTCTGTCTTGACCTACAAGTGTGCTCAAGTCTCTTCTTGGTGACAAAAGTCCCCCCATAGCCCAGGGACCTTGCTGAACTGTCCTCATATTCATAACCACACTGACTCTTCTCAAGCCTGACTTCCGCTGTTGTTCACGTATTCTAGGCACTTTATACTCTCTTGAGGACACCTATGAGTTCCTACAATGTGTTGCTGCCTGAGTTCCCTAAAAACTCGCAAAACTTTAAAAAAGTCCTCTCTTTTAAAACCTTTTGGATCGTGCATGTTTCTTAGCAGGGCGTGGTGAAATTCGCGGGGGCAGAATGCATTACCCCGGGGCTGTTCTGGGGCAGTTGCACTGTCATTCTCGAGCATTAATAGCATGGCTGGGTGGCCTGCCTTCCCTGCCCACCCTTTCCCCTGCTGCCCCTGTGTTCTGCCTTTGCCCCGGGTTCTGTCTCCATTACTCCTTCCCTGCCATGATTTCAGGGATCATCCCTGTGTCTAGATTTCCCACAACCCTAAACTTCCTCCCTTGTGCCTGATCTGAATTGCCAAGGATCCACAGACACGCCTGTCCCCTGAGTGCTCCATGCACAGGTGGCATGCTTGCTCTTATCAGAACTGATCATTTCCTCTCCAAACCTCAGCCAGCCCCGCCCCCTTCCTGTGTTTCCTGCGTTCTCAAGGACTTTCCCCCTCCGCCCCATCAACTCTTCACTGTGCCTTGCCCCCACGCCAGTCCTGCAGGATGCTCATCCCTTTCCCCTCTTGGCCTCCTTTATCTCTCCCCAGATCATCATCTGACTGTTTTCATCCCCTACAGTCCAGTGGACACCCTATTATTCAATGAGTCCACACCTGCATCACCCGCCGCACACGAACAGCTCCCAGGCTGAGGGTCCGGACCCTTGACCTGGCTCCACGTGGCTTCGTGGCTCCAACACCCATCCCAGCTGGGACTCAGTGTTTGCCAGTCAGACGCAGTCCTTATCCCACACCTGCCCCACTGCTGTCCATTCTTACTTGTGCTCCCAGGCCCCACTGGAATGCCACTTCCTCCAGGATGTCCTTGGTGATTTCTCAGCTGGAATTACTCTCTGCCCCCCTCGCCATTCCTAAATTAGTTCCGGATATTCTTTTTGCCTTATTTGATGTTGTATTCTAATCTGTGGGAACTTTTTCTTTAAGGCTAGGAAGTTTTTCTCCCAGAGGCTCCACATGTTGTGGGACTTGCACACTGGATAGAAGCAATTAATGATAGTTTAAAATTTTTTTTTTAGTTTTTTGAGACAGGGTCTTCCTACGTAGTTCAGGCTGTCCTTGAACTCACTATGTAGCCCAGACTGGTCTCGAACTCACAGTGATCCTCCTGCCTCAGCCTCCTAAGGGCTGGGATTACAGGTGTGTTCCACCATACCCAGTAGTTTTTAAATGAAGAGAACAATTTTTATCCCTTGTCTATTTTGTAGACCAGTTGTGATGGTAAGTAAAACAGTCTGAAAAAGCAACTCTTAAAGTTGAGAAAATGGGTTATATCAAAATGTTCTAAATTGCTTTCAATATTTCAGAATTGACATGTAAGAATAAAAAGAAACTACCCCCAGGGCCGGGGCTTTAGCTCAGTAGTGCTGTGCCTGCCTTACAAGTGCAAGGTCCTGAGTTCTATCCCCGGTACCAAAAAAAAAAAAAAAGAAAAGAAAAAAAGAAAAACTACCCCCAAATGCAGTGGTGGTGTGGGGTTAGCATAAAATGTTAAGTATGTAAACAGGAATTCAAGAGAAAATTACCAAATTGAACTCATTTGCATGTGTAATTACCCACCTGTGATCATTCTACTGTCATGTCTATTCCACCTTTCTCCTCCCACACCAAGTTAAAAATACTCTGTATTAAAATTTATTTTCTATCCAAATACAATGAATTCTTGGGATTGAGGGTGTACATGCATCTTCTCCACTTGAAACAAGACGCTGGGATCACAGTGTGCTAAGTATGAGTGGAAAGCTCAGCGGATCAACATCTGAGCCACTTGCTAATGTTCAAACAACATGAGGTTTGGAAGTCAGTGACCATGGTGATCTGCATCATCCTGCGGAGAACAGCAAAACCAGGGAAGGAAACCACAGCTTCCTTTGTGTTGTTAGTTTTTTTGACACAGGGTCTCACTATGTAGATCTGGCTGCCCTTGAGCTCACCATCCCAGACTGGTCTCCAAGTCACAGCAGTCTTCTTGTCTCAGGTGGGCACCACCACGCCTGGCCCCAAACCACAGCTTTTCTCAGTGTGAATTCACAAGACACAACTGTCAGATGCCCACCCAAAGTAGCTGTTCCTCTGAGAGGAATGACTAGGTGGCCAGAAAGTCATCAGAGGGGGCATCACCCAGAGGGGCACTTTTTCTCAGGGGACAGATGATCTCAGAGCAGAGGGTGTCTGTGTGCATTACTCTTCTTTCCATTGCTGGGACAAAATGCCTGAAATGCTCAAAGGAGCAAAGGTTTTTTTGGCTTACAACTTCAGAGGTTTCAGTCCATGGTTAGCTGGCTCCAAGGGAGAAACATCATGGTGGAGGAGAGCTGCTCACCTCATGGTAGTCAGGAAGCAGAGGGAGAAGAAAAGGACCCCCCAAAAGATGTAACCTTCAAAGTTACACCCCCAGGGACTTACTACTTCCTCTAACTAGGTCCTAACTCCTAAGAGGTCATTCTGCTATGCTCCCATCCATGGGTGAATCCACTGATGAGGTTAGTGCCCTCACAGTCTACTACCTTCCCTACGTGGCTCTTAGTTTAATCAGGTTCACAAACTGAACCATCACATCCGGGCATGGTGACACATGCCTATAATTCCAATCCTAGGAGGCTGAGGTAGGAGGGTCTCCACAAGTTGAAGACCAGCCTGGGCTACATAGTTTAAGGCCTGCCTGAACTACATAGTGAGATCTTCCTATCTCAAAACATATCAAAAGATGAACCATCACAGATGGAGAGACCCTGGGCTTCTGGAAGACCAAGAGGTGTTCAGGCTGTGCAGTGTCTGGGGAGGGAAGAAATAGTAACTTAGAACTCTGGAGGGAAGCAGGAGCTGGATAGAGCTGCCCTGGCAATTCTTAGGGTGGTATCACCTGGGGACTGCTCAGGCCCCACCCAGGCTGCACAACTGCAACTTTCGAGCCCAGGAGCCCCAGGTAGCCCCGCCACATTCAAGCTGAGACAAATGCTGCCCAGCTCTCTTGAGTACAACGGTCCTTTCACAGGTACACACTTTGTGGCTCCATTGTAATTTTCCTGAGTACGGAGATCAGGTGGTTAGCACCATCTGATGCCTGGAGCAGTAGGTTACCAACCGTCGCTGTGGGGCTGTGACTTAGGGTTTTTTTCCCCTTCTTTCTTGAATCAGACCACAAGGGGTCGCATTTTACCATCTAAATGTTCATCCTGTCCGGTCTGACACAGCAGCGCTGGCAAACTGACTGCAGGATCCCCTTTTAGGAGGCAGGTTGTCCCCTGACGACCTGGACTTTATCTCCACCCCCCCCCCCCTTCCTAACCATGCTCCTTAATCAAAATAATAGTCACCCTCCTGCCCGTCGCCCCCACCACATTGCCAGCAGTTTAGGCTGTTGGGTGTTCGTTCCTCAAATCGTTTACACACCACGGTCCAGCAAGCGTTTCCCCCAGGAGACTCAGCTTTTGCATGGGAAGTTAAAGATGGTTTCTCTTTCAGTCGCTTGCTATGTTTCCGTGACTCGGCTGTATCCTCCAAGGGGTTCTGACTCCTTCCCGCGGGTTTGCGGCTCCCAGGTCGGGGGCGGGGTGGGGTGGGGTGTCGGTCACCTTGCTGAGGTGCCTGGCTCGCAGGGCCCCCCACTGTCCCCAGTTTGTGTTAATACCGTGGATTCCTTCGGAAATTGTGCTTGAGAACAATTGTTACCTCCGAGTGCAACAAAGTATCCAAGGCATATTATTCAGATTTTCCAAAATTTAAAAATTAATAAAGACAATGCCAGTCGCCCCCCTCCCAGGGTTCCCCATCCACAAAGTCAATCAACCGCGCTGAGAAAATATTTAAAAAATTTGTATCTGTATTGAATATCTGCACTTTTTTCTTGTCGTTACTCCTTAAATAATTCAGCATACCAATTAGTTACATAGTATTTACATTGTGTCAGGTGTTAGAAATAATTGAGAGGTGATTTGAAGTGTAGAGGGATGAGTGTAGATTATATGAAACTATAATGTCATTTTATATAAAGGATTTGAGTGGATCTTAGTGTCCTGAAACCAATTACCTATGGGTACAGAGGGACGACTCTACACTTCGATTTACTGAAACAATTTTTAAATGTATGTATTTATTTATTTTTTGGAGACAGAGTCTTGCTGTGTAGTTCAGCTGGTGTGGAAATTTCACACCCAACCTCATGTAAACCATCATGGTCAGCAAGGGCACACTAAAAACATTGTGTAAAATTTCCTTCAGGCTATGTGTACAAGGTGTGTATGGAACACGGATGATTCTATGTGTGGACTTGGGTCTCATCCCCGAGATATCTCATTATATATATGCAAATGTTACAAAATCTGAAAACATCTGACACCTGAAACCCTCCTGATCCCAAGCACTTCTGATAAGGAATATTCAACGTTTATTGATTTGAAATGGAAACCTCTTTTGTTTTTTTGAGACAGGGTCTCAGTATATAGTTCACGCTAGCCTTGAATTCACTGTGTAGCCCAGGCTGGCACTGAACTCATGGCGATCCTCTTGCCTCAGCCTCCTTAGTGCTGGGATTGCAGGTGTGTGCCACCATGCCCAGCTGAAATGGAAACTTCAATCAATACCTAATAAAGCATCATACAAAGCATCTGTAATCGAATGGACATTGCTAATCCTGCCCCTTGGAGCAGGAAGACCACAAAGAGGCTTAGAATAGAAATGCCACCCACGCCTGCTTCTGCTGCTGGTGCTGCTGCTGCTTCGTGATTAGCAGTTGTAGGTGGCTGGCAGGTGGCAAGCCCTGCAGATATTCTTGAATCAGCTCCTGGCAGTCTGAATAGAATGAAAGCATGTGCATGTGAGCATTTTATTTAACAGCATCTCTGGTCAGCAGTGTTTTATGTAGCATCTTAATTACTGAAATGCATCTGTGATTTCTTTTGTGTTGCTGGCACTGAGAAAGCCAGCTGTCTTGCTGCAGCCCCTTTGCTTGCT